TTTCTGTCTCTCTGTCTCTGTCTTTCTGGTGCACACACATGCCCTATAGCAAAAACCTCTCCAAAAAAAATGTTTTGGAACCTTGGGTCAGCAGGTGGAGTAGATGTTAAGGTGCTGGATCCCACGTGGCAAGCTGTACAATTTGAGTCTCAGACTCAGCATGTTCAAAGTTATGCCAGGCACATGTGCATGTGTGCTCAATATCCCAAGAAGAGAGTGGAGGTAAAGGGGTTGTGGTGTGGCCATCCCCACAGCAGATTGTCTCTCTCTCTCTCTCTCTCTGGCAAGCATGGGCCCTAAAGCAAACCACCACTACCCCAAAAAGAAAAGCTTTGAAACCTCTGTCTCCAGAAGAAAGGCTAATTAGACACTCTGACGGGCCTCATACTACAAAACACTAAAGGGTGTGCGTGCATGTGTGTTTCACATTGCCGGCATTATCAAACGTAAGAAAAAGCTCTAATGAACAAAACAAAACCACCAAAAAGCCCCTGGGCTGCAAGGTGAGTACTGACATACTGAAGACGCTGTGACACTAGAACCAGCGGGCAGGCTGGGGAGGAGGCGTGCTGCCTGGGACGGCAAGGCGGGAAAACTGCACTCAGTGTTCGTGGAAGCAAGAAGCCCCGGGAGGAGGCTAGAGTGGTCTCGGCACAGTGGAAAAACCAAATGCAAATGCTCTTCAGGATCATTCACTCACAGACAGCAAAAGCTGACACGCTTCCTGCTCAGAGCAAATGGCAACTCAACAATCCAACACACAAGAAAATAATCCATCACGAAGGACGGTCAAAAGAAATAACAAAGAACAGATTTAGAACCATTAAGACGCCAAAAGAAGACTGCAAATCTGCAAATACAATAAAATAATTATGAACAAAACATCAAGGCAGAATCACAAAAATAAGCAATTAACAGCAGTCAACAAAAATAGCCAGACAGCTGTCTAAAAGAACCAAATCCATTTTCTAATAATGAAAAATAGAATTGCTATGGGGAAGAAAAAAATCCTCTAATGGGTAAAAGAGATGTTGTTGAAGGAGGCTGAATGAACCTAAAGACGGGGCTGAAGATATTACCCAGAATGCAACTTAGATACAAGAAATAGAACGTATCTTAGATATAGTGGGACCAGCAGTTGGCATAATGGCTATGTCTCTGGACTCCTATGTAGTCAACTGTGGTTCAAGTCCTGGACCCGGTGGCTTAAACTCATGCCAGGCGCGTGTGTGTGCGTGCCCAAGATCCCGAGAGGAGAATGGAGAAGGGAATGCAGCGTGACCATTCCCGCTGGGGGGTGATTTCTCACTTTCTGTCTCTCTCTGTCTCTCTGGTGAGTGCACACACCCTATAGCAAAAACCTCTCCAAAAATAAAAAGAAGAACATATCTTAGATATAGCAAAGGGTGCGTGAACCAATGGGCTTTACTAACACGCCCTCAGGCTGCTATAGCAAAGAACCTCAGACAGGGAGGTTTATAAACAACAGAAATTGATCTCTTCTGCTTCTGGAAGCTGGAGTTTGAGGTCAAGGTGCCAAGGTATGGTTCTGGCAAGGGCGCTCTCTCAGTTTGCAGATGGCTGACTTATGTCCTTACATGGGGGTAAGAGGATGAGAGAGGAAGAGCAATGCCTAGGGTGCTGGTCTTCCTTTTTAAAAAAAGACTTACTTATCTATTTCTTCTGAGAGCGAGCGAGAGCCAGGCTCCCCAGAAAGGGCGGTCGTGCTGTGCCCCACCCCCAGTCTCAGAGAGCCCACACTCCAGCACATGCACACCCAGTGTGTACAGGAAGGCCTTGGGATACCAACCCGTGACCTGCCCGTGAGGGTCTAGCATCATGCTGTCACTGCACCTCCACCTGCCCCGGAGTCCCCTTTTTAAAATCCTATTCATGAAGGCTACACCCCTTGAAGATGCCACTCCTTACACTATCAGGAGTTAGGACTTCAGCATATGAATTTGGGGAAGACAGACATTCAATCTATAACATACGTAGTGGAACTCCAGAAGGAAAATACAGAACATGGAGGGGAAAATGTGAAGAGATAATGGCTGGAGACTTTGCAGATGTGAGGGAAGACATAAACAGACAGCTAAAGGGCCCATATGTACAGCAAACAGGATGAGCTTTTCTTTAAAGCTCTTCCTAGATAGGGGCCGGCAGGTGGCATGGCAGTTAAGGCGGCTAGACGCCCCCAGGGCTGACTGGGTTTGGGTCTCGGGTCTGACAGCTGACTTTCTCACTTTCCTTCTCTTTCTCTCACTGCTCAACTTCAAAAATAAAAAAAATAATAATAATAATAAAATAATGACAATGAATAAAAATAAAAATAATTATTTCAAAAGAAGTTCTTCCTAGATATATTGAAAACTGAATACCCAAGGCTAAGAGAACTTCAGAAGCAGCTACAGAGAAACACAGCTTATCATGGAAGTGCTCAGAGAACTGTCCGTCTAGAATTGGGTACTGACTGAAACTATCTTGACCACCAGCTGACCTGCATAGCTGAAATTTCACCTAAGGTTTTTTACAGAGGTTTTTGCCTTAGGGCACGTGTGCTTCCGAGAGAGAGAGAGAGAGAGAGAGAGAGAGAGAGAGAGAAGGAGAGACAGAGACAGTGAGAGGTAAAGTGAGAAATCATTCCTCGGTGGGGATGGCCATGCTGTAATCCCTTCTCTTCCATTCTCCTCCCAGGATCTTGGGCACACACGCACACAAACACGCCCAGCATGAATTTTCAAACCACCAAGTCCGGGAACTGAACCACGGTCGGCCATTTGGGAGTCCAGCAACAAAACCATGACACCATCTGCTGGCTGCCTACCCAAGATAAATTTTAAAATCCCAGAAAGGCTGGATTACAGAACAAATGAAAGCTCGCAGTCCAAATTACAGAACATGGGAGGAAGAACCTCTGCAAAATAAAGCAATAGGCATTCTCTCCCTCTTTTTAAAATTTTCTATGGAGCATGTCCACTTTCTGGAGAAAGAGAAGAGAAACAGAATCCCCTCATGGATTATGGCCATGTTGCAACCCCTTCTCCTCCATTCTTCTCTTAGGATTCTGGGCCTACACTCACATGCCTGGTGTGTTTTTCGAGCCACCAGACCTGGGACTTGAACAATGCAGTCTGCCATGAGGGACCCAGCACCCTCAAACATCACACCACAGGCTAGCCTGGGCATTCTCTTTTTAAACCTCTTGTTACTACTAAAATTAAAATAACTACCTAAGCAGAATAGTACTATTGACACCAGTCAGTAAAGCTGATGTTTCCAAATATGAAATCATTGGAAATCCAGACAGGTACATTTTGAGACGCGTAGACCTGACATGACTAACGACTCACTGGGCCTCCCTGAAGCCGCACTTAAACGAGTCCGAGACTGTTCTTTACACCAGTCCACTAATGGCACCTGCTCCTCTGAGGAGACCAGCTGCTCTGGTCACATTTCTGAGGTTACGGTGCTGTGATTCAGCAACCCCTGTTCCCTGTACACCCCACCCCGCCAAATCAGAGAGCGCCGCATCCCACTAATGCAGAGAGCGCCAAAAGAACAATTAGATTTCACCAACCTTGAATTATCTTCTCCTTGTTAAGTCTTGTTTCTCCACTAAAATAAAAAGAAGGGAGAAACTTTATTATCAGATTACATTATTTTTGAGAGAAGGAAAAAAAAAATCGAATGAAGGGTAATGATATTCATAAATGCAGCAGATGAATCATAACATACATCACAATTTAACCCATAGAAATACAATTTATTCTAAACTGCTATTTGCAATTGCTCGTTCTAATGATGAGCTAAGAATTACACACTGGCTCACAGGGATGAGCACGCAGCATGGTGGCTAAGGCACCACACACTCCCATGTGGCTAACCATGAGTCCCAGACCTGGTGGCTTGCTTTCTCACTTTCTCTTTCTCCATCTCTTACTGGTCAAATTTAAATAAATAAGTAAATTGAATGAGTATATAAAATTAAATGCTTATTAAAAAAAATTACATACTGCCCCAAATTAAAATGTATTTCAGGAATTAATCTTATACAAATTACAGGGAGAAAATACTATTTAAAACCCTTTATATATGCATATATTATTTTTGTCAGATAATCTTGTTAAAATAAATATATTGGTCAAAATGACTTTCAGAGGCAGCAGGACCACGCCAAGTGTGTTCATTGCTGGGCTGAATGAATGAACAGGTGACAAGGAATCTGAATGGAATGGGACAGAAGAGCACAACCCTCAAAACCCCACGCCACATTTTGGCTCGTAATACATTATTCTTTAACATGCAATACAGGGGACCAGCAGGTGGCGTGGTGATTAAGGTGGACACTCCCACATGACCGACCATGGTTCAGGTCCTGGACCTGGTGGCTTGCTTGCTCATTTCCTCTCTCTCTCTCTGTGTCTCTCTCTCAGGTCAAATTAAAAAGAAAAACAAAACAAAATAAAAAACTAAATGGATGAATAATAATTAAAAAAAAGAAAAGATGCAACGTAAGTCTGGCTTAGGTAGTTTTCCCCTTCCCAGCACCATTCCCCATCTACCTACCATTCATTCATTCAGAGTTAGTTTTTTACATTTAGAGATTTTTGCTATAGGGCAAATGTACTCGGCAGAGACAGAGACAGAAAGCGAGAAATCACCCCCTGAAGGGACGGCCACGTGGCAATCCTTTCCCCTCTAATCTCCTCTCAAGATCTTGGTCACACGCACACACAGGCCTAGCGTGGGTTTTAAGCCACTGGGTACGGGACTTGAACCATGGTCGACTACGTGGGAGCCCGGTGATGTAACCATTACGCCATCTGCTGGTTCCTGGTTCCAGTTTCTTAAAAGTGCGGCCAAAGATTTTATCACCTTGACATGCCCAGTACCTAGGGAAAACTCAGGGAACTAACGGACCTTCAGTGAATATACTGCCTATGAAGAGCCATCTGGAAAAGCCCACCAAAATGACAAATCTAGTTACCCCTTTCTCCAGCAACCCCATTACTGAAAACACCTATATCCACTCATATATAAAAGACTATTTGCAGGGTCCAGCAGGTGGTGTGGTGAAGGCGCTGGATATCCCACTTAGCCAACCACAGTTCGAGCCCCAAACCTGGTGGCTTGTTTTCTCACTTTCCCTCTCTCTCTCTTTCTGTGTGTGTCTCTATAGTCATATTAATGAATGAAAAAGTAAAATTAAATAAACAATTCTTTAAAAAAAAAAAAAAAGCTATTTGCTACAGAATTATTTCAAACAGCACAAGATTATAAACAAACCAAATGTCCCTTAGCAGGGAGCTCATGTCCTCAACCGTGATTAAAATAACGGGTAATAGTTCCATGAATGACGCAGCCAGGTGGCACGGCCTGCAGAACTGGACTGTACTGTTGGAAGCCACACTGCTGACCTCAGGTTTGGATCCCCCAGGGTGGCCTGAAAACACACTGGGCACATGAGGAGGTGGAGGGCTGGGGACAGGAAACTCAGCCTGGCATGACCCTCTTGTTTGTTCTCTCTCTCTCTCTTTTTTGAATTATTTATTTTATTTATTTATTTATTTATTTTCAAACTTCACCAGAGAGAGAGAGAAAGGGAAAGTGAGAAAGCAAGCAGCCAGGGTCAGGATTTGAACCACAGTCGGCCCACCGGGAGTCCAGCCCCTTAACCACCACGCCACCTGCTAGTCCCTCTCCGTCTCTCTCTTATGTGCATGCATGCTTGATCATAAACAAACACACATATATACGCATACACACATATATTTATACCAACAAATAAACAGTGATTACCTAATAGAATCCTATATAATTAAGTCCTTTAAGAAGAGATAGCGTGGGGCAGCAGATGGCGAAGTGGTTAAGGTGCTGGATTCCCACATGGCCAACTGCGGTTCAAGTCCAGGAACCAGCAGCTTGAAACCCATGCCAGGCACATGTGAATGTTGTACCCAAAATCCCGAAAGGAGAATGGAAGAGAAGGCTCTGTGGCATAGCCATTCCCCCTGGGGTGGAGGGGGGATGATTTCTCACTTTCTGTCTCTCTGGCAAGTACATGTACCCTAATAGCAATAATCTCTCTCAAAGAGAGACAGCATGGAAAGATTACCACAGTATATGACTAAGTTGACTAAGTAGACGAAAATAGGGCCAGCAAGTGGCGTGGTGGTTAAGGCACTGGACTCACACATGGTCAACTATGGTTCAAGTCCTGGACCAGTGGCTTGAAACTCATGACAGGCGTATGTGCCCATGATCCCAAGAAGAGAAGGAGAAGGGATTCTCCCTGGAGGGCAGCTTCTCACTTTCTTTCTCTGTCTCCAACAAGTGCAGGTGCCCTATAGCAAGAAACTCTCTTTAAAAAAAAAAAGAAAAGAAAAGAAAAGAAAAGAAAAGAAAAGAAAAGAAAAAAGGCAAGGCAAGGTGGGTCAAAGTGCAGAGGTTATGGTAGGTGGATCCCACATGGCCGACTGTGAGGATTGCGTCCCAGACCCGAAGGCTTGGAAAACAGGCCAGGCATGTGCGCCCAAATCCTCAGAGGAGAGTAGAGAAGGGGCAAAGGTATAGCTATCTGTCTCTCTGTCTCTCTGGCGAGCATACGCGCCCTATAGCAAAAACTCTCAAAAAAAAAAAAAAAAAAAAACCCTGCTAAAATGTCATCATATTGAGGCCAGCAGGTGATGTGGAGGCTAAGACGCGGGATCCAACACGGCCGATTCCACAGTCTGAGTCTCAGACCTCGCAGGGTGAAAATCACGCCAGGTGCGCACACATGTGTGCCCCAAATCCCGTGAGGACAATGGAGGAAAAGGGACTATGGTGTGAGCATCCCCCCAGAGGGTGATTTCTCACATTCCCTCTCCCGGTCTCTCTACGAGTGTACACAGCCTATGGCAAATATCTAAGAAAACAACAACAAAAAAGTTATCTCATCGAATACGGAATCCCAGTCATTTCACAGCAGGGTAAAGCCACTGCCCCCCACCTGACAGCGATGGTATACGCAGGATTCCAACTAGCTGCACGTCAGGAGACACTGCTGCAGACAACGGCGTGGTGTGCAATCCCTGGCATTCGCTCTTAGCTCCCATTGGGCATTTTTGCCTTCAGACTACTTTATAAATATTACAGAGTAGGAATCTAAAAATAGAATTTTTTCCCAAAAAGCCTTCCATAAATATTTAGTTTTAGCGCTTTCATCAGCTTTATCAAGAGGTTTGTATATATATCTTTGAAACCAAAGTGAGTGTGAAGGTGAGTTTGGGAAGTGGGCCACTAGTCTATTTCCCGTCGTCCCTGTTTGGCTGCGAGAGCAGCAGAGGATGAAGGGAGCTGAAAGGTCAGAGGGATACATTTTGAAGGAGTCAGGAATAACAGCACTCAGTCTCAAAGTCTGTAGTGTGATCCGTCTCCAAAACAGAACACCGACTCTGCAGGAATCCAAGCACCGGGCCAAGACGCTAAGTCTCATGACCAGCCATTTATAGGCCCTGCATGAACGTATCTTCCATGTTGTAGGTGATCCCGTTCTTCACTCACTCAGAGAAAGTTTACACACTTTCCTATAAGCAATGCATTACGTCTTTTTTTTTTTTTTTTAGGTTTTTGCTATAGGATGCCTGTGCTCACCAGAGAGACAGAGAGAGAAATGAGGAATCATCCCCCCAGGTGGGTGTATCTTCTAAAGAAATTGAAACTCAATTCTGAGCCACAAGAGAGAAATCATGGGAAATTAGTGTAATGTGGGACACGTTTTTCAAAAGATGTGCTAAGTACAGTGGAAATGTGGCACCACACCTAGAATTTAATCATGAATGCTGCTGAGTCCTAATTCCTTTACACCAATTCCTTCATTTGCAGATAGAGAGTTCAAAGGCTGAGGATCAGCAGTCCGAGTAATGGCTATGTCGCTGGACTCCCATGTAGTGGACTATGGTTCGAGTACCAGACCCGGTGGCTTAAATTCAGGCCAGGTGCATGTGCGTGCCTGCCCAACATCCGGAGAGGAGAATGGAGAAGGGATTGCGGCACGGCCATCGCCCCTGGGGGTGATTTCTCACTCTCTGTTTCTCTGTCTCTGTCTTTCTGGTGAGTGTGCACACCCTACAACAAATATCTTGGGGGGGGGGGAGATATCAAAGGCTGGACTTTCACTGGATGGTTTGAGAGGGAAAAAAAAACTTGTAAAGGCCCAGTTCATAACACATTTTTGTTTATACACAGATTAGCCCTAGTGGCAAAGGCTCTAACTGATCAACCGCACGTCCCCAAAACAAGTAAATACTAACATGATAATTTACACATCTTTATAAAAGTATCACGTTACAGGAATCTATTATTTTGCCTGCTTTTTTCTTTTCTTTTCTTTTTAGGTTTTTGCCACAGGGCGTGTACGCATGTTCCTCTTTCTTCATCATACTTTGAAGTGAAACTACCAGTGTGTATCTGTGGGCTTGAATGCCCTCGATTGCGGACTTTAAGTGTGTCGTGATAAACTGTACCTTCTCCTGATCTACGGCACGACATTGTTGAAAACGCCAACATACGCAGGTGAGCGTTAGTGTTACCTACACAATACCAGTGAAGGTCTCAGCTTCTTGAAACTCACTTGTAGGTGTTTGCAGTCAGTCACCGGCAAAACCATCTATTCACTTTTTTTTTTTTCCCTTAGTTTTTGCTAAAGGGCGTGTGCATTTGCTGAATAGAGACAGAAAGAAGGAAAGTGAGAAATGACCCTCCAGGGGACATGGTCATGCCACAATCCCTTCTCCTCCACTCTGCTCTTGGGATTTGGGGCATGCATGCATATCCACCCAGTGTGATCTTCAATCTGCCAGGTCCAGGACTCGAACCATGAAGTTGGCCATGTGGATCCAGCTGCCCTAACCTCCATGCCATCTGTTGGGACCAATTTTACTTCCTTTAACCAGATCTTTAAAGCTTTAAAATTTTTTCCACAAACTATAATTTATTTTTAATAGCTTAAACATGATAAATTAGCAATCAATAGCAAAAGTGATTTGTTTCTTATTCCAACTTTACCAGTAGTTACTTTCTGTTGAGTGTTAATCATTGTTTTCAACATCAAAAAAGGCAGGCAAAGGAGCCAGCAGGTGGCGTGGTAGTTACGGTACTACACTCCCCCATGGTTGACCACAGTTCAAGTCCTGGATCCAGTGGCTGGAAACTTATGCCAGGTGTGTATGCATGCATACCTTAAATCCCAAGAGAATGGAGAAGGGACTATGGCATGGCTTTTCCCCGAGGGTGATTTCTCACTTTTCTTCTACTACTCTGTCTCTCTCTGGAAAGCGCACATATTCTATAACAAAAACTTAAAAAAAAAAAAAAAAAGATAGTTTGGCATGTGACTGCCACATTTCAAGAAGCAGAGACCTTCACTAGTATTGTGTAGGTAACCCTCATGCTAACCTGCCTATGCTGTCGTTTTCAACAATGCTGTGCCATAGATGAGAAGTTACTGTTTAATAATCATGACAGACTGGAAGTCTGGAATCTTGGGCCTTGATTTGGTTGAACTTTAAAAAATTCCTTTAAGGGGACCAGCAGTTAGTATAATAGCTATGTCGCTGGACTCCCATGTAGTCGACCACGGTTCGAGTCTTGGACCCAGTGGCTTAAACTCACGCTAGGCATGTGTGCATGCGTGCCCAAGATCCTGAGAGGAGAATAGAGGAGAAGGGACTGCAGCATGGCCATACCCCCTGGGGGGTGATTTCTCGCTTTCTGTCTCTTTCTGGCGAGCGCACATGCCCTATAGCAAAAGCCTCTCCAGAAAAAGAATAAATAAATAAATAAAAATCGCTTTAACATTTCCTTACATTATTTGAAGAGGTACACTTTATTAAAATTATCCAACTTTGGCCAGCAGGTGACGTGGTGGTTAAGACGCTGGATCCCACATGGCTGACGAATCCTGGTTCTGGCCGCTTAAAAAACACGCCAGACGCATGTGCGTGCATGCATGCCCCAAATCCCAAGACGAAATAGAGACGAGATTGTGACATGGCTACCCTAGCAGGGTGATTTCTCACTTTTCTTCTGTCTCTCTCTCTCTGGTGAGCACATGCATCCTATCACCCTAAAACAGAAAACCTATAAAAATTTGTTTAAAAAATTTAACTCTTCAAAAAGTCATTTTATTTAACTACAGTGATTATCAATCAAATTTGCAATCATATCTTTTCCTGAAAGAATCTCTAGTTTTTAACTTTTGAGAACTCCGAAGGTGAGAAGCAGGACTGTCCAGACAGGAAGACAGCTAACCACAACCCTATCTATCAACTATGTCAACACTTTCACTCACTTGCCCACACAGAAAACAGGACACTTTTATTTATTTATTCTTTAGGTTTGCTTTAGAGGGCAGGAGGGAGAAATCACCCCCCTCACCCCCCGAAGAGGATGGCCACACACCTTCTCCTCTATTTCCCTCTTAGGAAATTGGGCATGCACACCCCAGGGTCCAGGACTCGAAATGTGAAGTTACCCACGTGGGATTCAGGGCCTTAATCACCACACCACCAGTTGGGCCTAAAACAAACCTCTTTTACATTCTTTGCAATTGTATTAGGAGGATTAAAAAGTGGCCTCAAAGATGGATGGTAATACCCACGTAATCTACAGATACGAGGTGTTCACTAAATAAACCAGGAAACAGAAGACTGCTCAGATTGCGTGGTTCAGATTTGATCTCCCCAACTTGTCCTGTGACTTTAAACAAGCTACTTACGCTATTTCAGTTTTATCACCTGCAAATGGGAACGATTAGTCCTTACCTTACTGCATTATCAACAGATAGTCCTTACAACAGTGCCTGACCCATCGTAATTGACTTATATTTCTTAAATGATTCCTATAAGGGTCTCCACAATCACACCCTTTTTTAAACATCAGGAAAATCCACACTCAGAACTATCTATTAAAAATCTGAACGGGAAACCCCGTACTTTTCTGGGTGAAGCAGATTTCCATTCCCTACCGTATGAGTGTCAGTGACGTATCTGACACTGTACTGGCTGGGTCAGGCATCCAGAAAATGCTCTGACATCGGAGGAACGGGTGGTGAGGGCTCTAATGGGTTGTCAGAAAAGAAATGACGTATTTTTTCTGTGTCATGACTTTTCCAACAGCCCAGCAAGTCCTATCCCGCGACCAATGAGCTGTCCAACTTTCAGCAGTGGAGAGCCTCCCAACGCACTCTATTTGGTCTCAGGCAAGTCTGGACGTATTTCTGTGTTTTCTACGCACAAATGCATCATTTCCAGACAACCCAATATAAAATGGAACGGAGTTGGGGGGAAGAGACAGGGAGAAGCCAGATTTCCAATTTTGCCATTTACATCCCATGAATCCTAAAAGGGCAATGACTAACGATTCCCAAGATTATCTTCCTATAATGAACAGAAGACAGCTTGACAACGTTAATATTTGTGTCCCTTGGGAGTCCCGGGAAGGTAGAAATATTTACTATATAAACAAGTAAGCACAGAGCCTACTCACAACGCCGGTTTGATAAAATATACATCTATCTTTGAAAACCAAGCGCATCGTGGAAATGGTTACTTAATTCTCAGTTATGTTTCTTCCCCTACATTAGGCCGTACTCTGCCTTTCCCTCTTAATTCTTACAATAACCCAGTGAGACAGATACTAACATTATCCCCATTTTATGTAACAGAAAAAAAGATTAAGTGGATAGCTAAACCCTGTTAGGAGTCAGGATTGCCACCCAAGTCTACCGTGCTTTTAAACACCGGTGCTCTTAAGCACCTTGATTTTCACTTCCCCTTAACAGTCTGCACGTGTTGAGAAAGACAGGCCACATAAAGACACCGGCGTTTAGCTCTATGGAATCTGTTATCATAAAACATTTGTTCAGGGTGATGCGGTCTGCTGAGATTCGGGGCTGAGGCCCTCAGTTCTTCCCCAGACCTGCAGCCTCTGGGGGACAGAAAGAAACCTCAAAATCACGTCTGTGGGACTGACTACCCTGGGGAACCACAGGGAAACGCAGGGGAAAGTCAGCGACGGGGAGAGGGGATCGCGGTAGAGAGCGTCAGAAATACCCGCCATGGACTAGCAAGTCTGCAAAATCCTCGGACTCTGCTGGGGGCAGAGAAGTCCGCTGTACTACCCAGCGGCTGGGGCATCTTCGGCATTTGCGCCTCTAGACCTCACTCTGCTCGTAGGAAACACAGGACTGATGAGACTGAAAGACTGCCGGGTAAGCGGGTCGAACGAGATAACCCACACGAGAGCGCCTTGAAAACAGACCCTTGCAAGCCAGCAGGGACCCGCGGGTCGCCGATGCAAGTTCCCTTCGCCCCTCCGAAACGCTGACGCAGGACAGAGCGGAAAAGCACCCGTGACAGTAATACTCACTGCCGGACCACGGTCAGGGCGAAGCGCATCATCTTCCCGGAGCTCAGAAGACGAGGCAATGGCCACTGCTCCACGTCCGGTCCCGGCACTCGAGCTGAGCAGCTCCTGCACTGCGGGATCACCTCGCCCACACCACTTCCGCCAACCCTGCCAGCCGGCCGGCTCCGCCGCCATAGGCCGAGGCGGCCCCTACGTCATCTCCAAAAGACCAATCAGAGCGGCAGAAGGCTGACAGGTCGGAGGAGACTGGTAGGTGGTGAGGCCCCGCCCAGCGAGGGAGCGCTGGCGCCCCTGCGCGCCGGGCTGTGATTGGCCTGCGCAGTGCGTGCGGCCCCGCCCTCGGCCCGCTGCGGGAGTCTTGCCCCAGCTAGTTCGCAGCCAGCAGGCTCGGGCAGATAAGGAAGACACGGCTTGATTTTTGACTGACCTGATTTGTTGGGCCGGAATGCAGTCGGTAGTCTTATAATAGCGGGCCAGTGGGAAGAATACCTCACGGGTGTATGTATAGTACCAGATAAATCGCGTCCTATGAGGGGCGTGGGGTCAACATGACCTGCAGACTCGGACCCAGCACGTTTCAGTCCCGACTCCAATTTGACTCTCTTAAACTACACGTTAGTCAGGCTCCTTTTAACCTTCTTTCAGACTAGTCCTCATCCCTGGCCAGTTGCGCCGAGTTTTACCAAAGAATATTTTTTTTAAGGAATTACTTAATTTTGCTAATTATTTTTTAATTTGACCGGGGTGGGAGGAGTTAAAAAGCAAGCCTCCAGGATGGGACTTGAACCCTGGTCGACCATATAGGAATCTAGCACCTTAAGTACCATGTCACCTGCTGCCCCATTTCCCCAAGTATCTTACCAAACCAGTTTACCAAAAGTCTCCTCATCTTTGATATTCAATCTAGTTCCTCTTCCCCCTCCCCATAAGACCTTAAGGAGTCACTCTTAGTAACTGTCCACCCCCCCACCCCAGCCCCCCCACTAAATCTCCACTGGGCTGTGTTGTATCTGAAGTTGACTTCAATCTCTACACCGAACTGCAATAATCTGAACCTATGGAGAAAGACCTGGGCATCAGGTGTTTTTGTTTTGTTTTTATCCCCAGCTGTTTCCAATATGCAGCCAGTTATGAGAACTAGAAGTTTAAAGCAAAGCTTTTTTTTTTTTTGGAGAGATTTTCACTGTAGGGCGTGTGCGCTTGCCAGACAGACAGAGAGAGACATAGAGACAGAAAGCGAGAAATCACCCCCCAGGGGAGATGGTCATGCCGCAATCCCTTCTCCTCCATTCTCCTCTCGGGATCTTGGGCACGCACGCACACGCGCCCGGCGTGAGTTTTAAGCCACCAGGTCCAGGACACGAACCGCGGTCGACTATGTGGGAGTCCAGCGACATAGCCATTACGCTAACTGCTGGTTCCCTAAAGCAAAGCTTTTCAGGAGGCCAGCAGGTGACATGGTGGTTAAGGTGCAGGGTTCCCAGGTGGCCTACCGCGATTAGAATCCCAGCTTGAAAATCACAAGTAAGTAAAGGTTTGATAGATTGATTGGTTGATCAGTTTTTATTTTTGCTATAGGGTGTGTGTGTGCTCGCCGGAGAGACAGAGAAACAGAAAGCGAGAAATCACCCTCTGAGGGGAATGACCACGACACAATCCCTTCTCTTCCATTCCCCTCTAGGGATTTGGGGCACACATACACGCGCGCCGGGCATGAGTTTTAAGTCACCAAGTCAAGGACTCAAACTGCAATCGTCTACGTGGGAGTCCAGGGATGTAACCATTATGCCATCTGCTGGTACCAAGGGGTGTGTTTGTGTGTGTTTCTTTCTTTAAAAAAAAAAAAATAAAAGCGCTTCTGACTCTTATGTGCACACAGGGCACCTGGGGACTTTGTTATAAAGCAGATGTAGATTTAGTAAGTCTGGAGTGGATTCCAAACTCAGCATCTCTAACAGCTCCCAGGAAAGCAGGAGGTATTTTCAGGATGAGAATAGAGGAATCATTCAGAGAGTCCCTAGAGCGGGGCCCAGGTTACCATAAATGGTGGGTACATGGTAGATACTTACATATACGTTCTCAACGCCTGTACAGATGAATTCATTCAAAACATTCTCCTGAAAATTTGAACTGAAAAGTGGAAGTGCTTAGGTAGTTATCTATGTTGCAGCAGAAAAAAAGCATCCAGACAAACTATGAGATAGATTTACAGCAATATACAGTGAGGCGTGAATACTAGAGTTATGAAGAAACAAATCATAAATAATGCAAGCTTAAGAACAAATTGACAGAAGAGAAGGTAGAGCCAATCGTAGGCAGTGGAAGAACCGAAAAGACACACAGAGACAGGCACAACTCAGCGATGCAATGAGCACCTGGTGACGAGTCCCTTAAGCTGCCAGAGCATTTTGATACCTGGTAGGTTCTGGTTTTCACAAAACCCCTTCCACCTAGTGGTGGTCTAAATGCATGTAAGAAGTCTAACTAAAAACAGTCTTCCACGTTGTCTCATAATACTCATGTCATGTGTGTAATACTCACAATAACTCTGCAAAATAAGAGTTATTAAGGGGTGAGGCATGGTGGCGCCCTCCCTATGGCAAAAACCTATGGAGGCTGGAGGATTGCGGCATCAAGTCCATTTCACTCCCTCTGGGAACCAGCAGTTAGCTTAATGGCTATGTCACTGGACTCCCACATAGTCGACAGCGGTTCGCATCCCGGACCCGGTGGCTTAAAACGCACACCGGGCACGTGTGTGTGAGTGCCCAAGATCCCAAGAGGAGAATGGAGGAGAAAGGATTGCGGTGTGACCATCTCCCCTGGGGGGTGATTTCTCGCTTTCTGTCTCTATGTCTCTGTCTGTCTGGCGACTGCACGTGCCTTAAGCGAAAACCTCTCCAAAAAAAAAAAAGAATTATTAAGGGGACCAGCAGTTGGCGTAATGCCCACGTCACTGGACTCCCATGTAGTTCGACCACAGTTCGAGTCCTGCACCCAGTGGCTTAAACTCATGCCGGTGCGTGTGCGTGTGCGCCCAAGATCCCAGGAGGAGAATGGGGGAGAAGGGATTGCAGCATGGCCACCCCTGTGGGCGTGTGATTTCTCACTTTCTGTCTCTCTATCTTTCTCTGTCTTTCTGGCAAATACACGCGCCCTACAGCAAAAGCCTCTCAAAAACAAAAAAGCAAACAAACAAAGTTATTAAGGGCACTTGCACTCACTGGGGGAAAAGACAGAGAGATAGAAAGTGAGAAATCACCCCCGGGGGGGATGGCCACGCTGCAGTTCCTTCTCCATTCTCCTCGTGGCACCTTGGGCGTGCACATGCTCAGTGTGAGTTTTAAATCGCTGGGTCCAAAACTCAAACCGCGGTTTGAGTGGGAGTCCAGCAACGTAATCATGCCATCTATTGGTCCGTATTTGTCACATCTTTAATGGGAGAAAATGATTGCTCTATGAGACCTTCAGAAAATTATGACACACCCACTGTTAGGGTTCAGAGTAAGACTCAGGAGGCATCATCTCAAGAGGAAAAGCAAAGTTTACTGAGAGAAAGAGCCCAGGGGTCTGAAGCCCACTCTACCAGGAGACATGATGTGTTTACATGGGAGGGGGTAGGGGCAGGGTCCCAAGAACGGCTTTGATCAGCTTACTTGACCTGATGGGCCCACCTATGGCTGTTGGCCACCAGTACGAGTGGGCTCTGGCCGGAGGATTCTGGCCAAAGGTCTTAACCATCTCATCTTCTGATGAGAAATTACCTAAAAGCCAATCAGGTGCTGACCTAACATTTCCAGCCTTTTCATCTTTTCTGAAAATGTTGAGGTGAGTGTGGGACAAGGGATTATGGGTGATGATCAGTCTTCGGGAGCTGCTTCATGCTGAGAAGCAGCATTGTCCTTTAGGGTGAAGGGGGTGTGGGCCCTCTGGAGGCAGACGTGAATATCGTACCCTCTGGAGCAGCACGATGTTTTCAGCCGGTTTTGGGGCCAGTTGTTGGATGCTGTCTCAGATGAAGCGGTTTAGCATTTTTAGGCGAGGAGGCCCTGCAGGAACTGAGAAGAGTTACAGCAGGGCCACAGGGGAAGGATGAGAGCAGCATTTTTCTTCGGAAAGAGGAAGAGAACCCCCCTTTGAGAGGAGGCCCTGCGGGAACTGAGAAGAGTTACAGCGGGGCCACAGGGGAAGGACGAGAGCAGCATTGTTCTTCGGAAAGAGGAAGAGAACCCCCCTTTTCTGCCGCGAGAAGATCTAGGCCTCTGGTTTTGGAGAGTTACCGCAGCCATGGAAACAGAGGTGAGTGGAGGAGCCACAGTGAAAGAACAGGCCAGTGTTAAGACGAGAGAGAGAGAGAGAACAGGTGTCTCGGGACTTGATTTCTGTCCTCTGGTGCTTTTTAACACTTTGTTTACATTTTAGTCATCTTAAAATCCCTTCACAAAATTACCTCATTAATGCTTTTTCTCTTTCCTGTTTACTATTGTATTTCTTGTTTTTCTCTTATACATTTATTTTTGGAACTAGCCTTAACCTCTGATTTAGACAAAAAATAATATTTCAAGGGGGAACCAGCAGTTAGCATAATGGCTATGTCACTGGACTCCCATGTAGTCGACCGCAGTTTGCGTCCCGGACCCAGTGGCTTAGAACTCACGCCGGGCGCATGTGCGTGCGTGCCCAAGATCCCGAGAGGAGAATGGAGGAGAAGGGATTGCGGCGTGACCATCCCCCCTGGGGGGTGATTTCTCGCTTTCTGTCTCTATGTCTGTCTCTGTCCGTCTGGCGAGCACACGCGCCCTATAGTGAAAACCTCTCTAAAAAAATAATAATAATAATAGTATTTCAAGGAACACACTCGTATTTGTCACTCTGAGGGTTACCCGAGGCTTGTCCGGTGAGATTTCCAGATGTCCAAGGGGAGCTGTTGAGGTCTCAGGTCCCCAGCAACCTTCAATTTTAGAGGACTCAGAAGTCCTGGGCTCCCTTCGGAGCTCAGGGCATTCTTGTCTCTGGTGACCAGCTCCTCCATGGTGGGGACAAGGCCCCAGTGGGGATAGGTGGATGTCAGTTATAGGCCTTGCCTATTGCACATTGCACATTGAGAATGTTTAGTCTTCCCAAGGCAGAGTCTCTGATCTGGGCTCTTCCAGATCC